AAAAAAAAAAAAAAAAAAAAAAACTTAACAAAAGAGCACAAAAATTAAGCTTCATGAATGAACGCCGACTTAAAGACTACTAGTTTGAACCTAGCTCTGAACAAGTAAACTATTTACGCATAAAAACAACATCAGGAGATACATGACGAGATCGATTGAGGAATAGTACAAAATGGGAAATTATTAAAGCAGAGTTGCAAAGCTGTTGAGGGCGTTTCAATTTCATTAGGTACTTTTTGAAATCAACCACTTGATCAAAGGCCTACTTTACAAAACACACTGGGCAGCAAAATAATGAAAGAGAAAAACATATGACTTCAGTTCTCTCCAATTAATTTCAAGTTAGTGGGCGAATTAAGTAATAGTAAATAACAATGTGATCCATAATACTCTTCGACAAATATCTGTCAATTAAATGCTGAATGTATCAGGAGCATAAGTTCAAATCATTCAAGATCAAAGCAAAACAAATCTTTGAACAGTACTACTTATGCGATCCTACAATTTTTCATAAAAAAAAGATGATTACTCTAAATCACATGGCAAACTTACTAATTACTTGTGGTGTGAAATATCGCGCCGATAACGAGATAAAGTTAATTTTAGTTTTAACAAAAAATAAACTTACAGAATTGACATTTTAAGGAAATTTTTGAGGCCATAAGAAAAAATGACATCTTGTGAAAGTAAAGGTTCCTGTTTACCAGAAAGCAGCTTGAAGACATGATTCCGTTTACTTAATGCCAAAATATTTTGTTTTGACAGTTTCGTTCATTTTCTCCTTGAACTCTTCATACGTGCATTCAAATACAGGCAAAGTGAGTCTCAGGGCACAAGAGGAGGCCGTAGGATAAGGTCTATCACCTGCATTCACAGCATGTGTAAATGCAACCGTAAGTTTCTTCTCAAATCCTCCCAGAGGCTCAGCTGCATGCCCAGTTAAGAGGATTAGAAAGTCCTCTATGGAAGCGTCAAGTAACCCAGCTGCAACAGAAGAACATATTAATATGTGTTGTTATAATTTATCAAAGAGTGTTGAATCAGACATAAGGGTGTAATACCTCTAGTCCATGCAAACCGACCGATCAAATTCTTAGACACACTTAAGAAGAGGCCCTTTTCCTGTAAATCTAAAATGACAAGATCTGATGCCTTAGAGGGAATGTCAGTCTTGGACCATGCTCATCGGCGAATTGATCCTATTTTTACCACACCATGGAGATCCCTACGGGAGATTCCCTTATTAACTCAAACTTCTTGCAACCTGACAGGGAAAAATCGCCTAACAGTCCTTTTAACATTTGCATAATTTGTATTCAATTTTGCAGATTCGGATTCAGCACGCAAAATCAATGTAAAATATTTAAAATTATGGGCAACTACATAAGTGAGTTACCTACTATTGCACAAGGCCCACGAATGTCATCAGTGTTTAAAGAAAAATTTCCTCCACATCTTATTCCACAATCCTTTTCCTTTACTTTTGCGAAAATTTTCCTCCACATCTTATTCCACAGATCATTTTCCTTCACTTTTGCGAAAACTTTAAGAAACTTACAGGAAGCTTTCACTAAGGGCATCAGAACTGCGGAGTTGTAACATGAAGCATAAGAAGAATTTTGCAGATTCTTTCTTCACTTTAAGTTAAGCCGAATGTGCATTTTATGAGTGATAAAGAATTTTACCCTTTAGTGGAAGTCCTAATCACTGAGTCAAAGTTTGAGCTCTGTCAACAGTCCAAAAATGGCTCCGCTGGTAATCATTCTGGAGTTTAATCAGGACCAAAGAATTTATGGTTTGAGGGCGAACTTTTCAGACTGTTTACAGTTGCAAACACTTCACAAGGACTTGCCACCCTACTTCTAATTAAATTTGAGTACACCTTTTCAACATTGGCATGGCGTGTTCTGCGATATATCGATTGGTTTGGCATCTCTACTTACGGAAAAGGATCAATAAAAACAGGGTGTTCGCAGAAAATGCTGTAATAATCGATTCTTCAACTAGCTTCAAATGAGGAAATATTGGTTATCAATCATTCAGGTCCTCCCTCCCCAAGAATAAGTAAATGGACCTACTTGGAGGCAGTAAGGCGGACACTTGAGTCCTGCGGTCAATATATTTACATGGAAAGAAATTACTACAGGACTCAAGTTCGATTGCCTGCCACATAAAGCTACCTATAAATTAGACAGGGGAAAGAAAAAGAAAAATGAGATTGTTACTTTTAAGGGATCAGCTCTTGGTAGAATTTTACAAAACTGAACAACACTTCTCCTCTGGTAAAAGAATAACCGCCTCTCCTTTTCATCTCTGACTGTAGTCTTGTGGGTGCTGCCATATTACACGTGCTGATGCTCAAGTATTGACCATCTCGCCGTTCGACTAGGTAACGAACAAAATGGTAACTAGCTGTAGGCAATCAAAATAGACTTTTGTCATGTCACCTGCATTCTTTGCTGCCTTCAGAAATACATCACTGACTTCTTGCTGTCTTCTTCTGCTGTCTCTTCAATTATTCTGTTTCTTGGAACATTGTTAATGAAGGGTGACAGTTTTAATTTTTTAAATTTCCGAACACTCAAATTTTGGAGAGATCGAGGTTCACATCATTATCCATAGACTTTCACCCTGTACAATTTCTGCTGAGCAGGTTTATGCATTGCATAAACCTGATGAAAAGATTGTGAGAAATACATTCTATGATGGCATATCATGAATTACACTGAAGCAGGAATAGTATGAGAGGAACCCTCTTGCAAAATACTGGTCAGAAGCATACATGTGAAATACACACCTTCCAAATCGTCCAAGTAGTACAACAAGTGAGTCGCCATCTGTTCTTCCTTGCGTCTCAGCTCTGCGTCCGTGCTGAATTTCAAATCCAGCATTCTTTTAATATTTGCAGCTGTTAATACAGATGCTGGCTTGACAAAGGCTGCTCTCATCACGGCTGGATGCTTTCTTATGTATTCAAGGACATTAAGGGTCTTCAGTCCTCTACAAAACTGTTCAAAAGCGGGCTGTAGCCTTATATTTAGGCAGTAATCCATCAACTCTGAAATAATGAATAAATGAAAATTGTGTATCAGCTTTGCAAGTATAAATTAGAAGTATAGAGGCAAACATAATTTCATTCAAGACTTCTCCTCTCTTTTTCTTTCAAATGTCTTTCATTCACTAAATATACTAAGAACTGAACTTAATGAGAGCTTCTTTACTTAAATTTATTAAACCTAACAATTCCATAACAATCAGGGTATGTGAATGTAGAATGCTGGCATATTATGGTTTGTGAAAGACTATTGAGTGGCACATTATCAATACTTCATAAAACGTAACTTTCCTTCTTCTAGTTTCTCTTATGTATCTAAAGGACCAACGTCTCATGTTGACAATTAATATACAACATCTTAACATACCAATAAGTGAGCTGGCCTAGGTAAAATAATTCATCAAAAGATTCTATATCGGCATATCTCAGAGGGGGGATGGGGGCGAATAAAACGCGGGACTCAAATATCTAAAACTTGATTCCACTAATATATCTTTCGTCAAAGGATGAGCTGTTATCTTATTCTTTAATAATAGGTGATCATTGTTAATTGATAAAAGCAGTTAAGAGAAAGGATGCAATGTGTTAGTATTGAGAAAATTAAATTGCTTCGTGAAAGTTACCATTAATAATGCCTTGTTTACGCCTAAAATTGTCCACAGAGGTGACTCCTATCATTGTGAGCAACAATGAATTAGTGACGGCGTATTCCAGTTCCCTTATATTCTTGGTGTTGGTGATAGTTTCAATCTCCTTCCGGATGTCTTCATCCATGATTTTGGAGATATCAACTGGTCTGTCATATTCTCCGCTAACAATCATGTCATAAAGCTCTGGCGACAAAAATTGAGGAGATGGACCATTGTGCGCAGTAGATAGTGCCATTATCATCCCTCCTAGTTTGTAGTCTTCTAAACGTAGAGAATCTGCATCTAACGCTAGACTGCGAGACAGCTCTTCTCCTTCGAACATACGACTCAATTTAATCTCCTGCAGCGCTAATCGGAAAAATTCGTTCCTTAAACCCCCTGTATCAATTCCAATTTCGTCCATATTTCATTGGTCCACGAATTTAATAAATAAAGCCTTTTTTGGATCGAAGAGTGGGCTGTTGAGTCCAATATGGGCAGACCGAAAAACATTGGATCTAGAGATGTACAGCGGTCTCTGCTGTTCGCTGATTATTTGACGGCCCAAATCCTTAATAATCTCTTTCACCGTTAGCTCTTGAATATCCTGAAAGGCAGCAGGAGTTAGCACTGCAAGGGGTTCAGTTTCGGTTCCTAACTCTATTTCTAAATCAGCCTCCGTTCCAGTTACTTCGCACCATTCTATATCATCGAAACCATCAAGAGGAATGTAATTTCCATCTACATCTGACACCACAACTTCAACCATTGATGAACTTGCTGGGGCTGCACTCTGGATATTTGATGGACGATCAGATGGAGTAGCATGTACATTGCTGCTGCAAGAAGCAGCTGTTGATTCAGTCATGTTGTTGCTTTCATTGGCAGGGGGGACACAGCTATCTTCTGGCGATTCCCTGGCTTCTTCCTCATTAGGAGTGTCAAAGTCTTTTAAATCATAAAAGAGGTAACCGTTGAAAATTACAAACTTTTGTTTGGGTTTAAATTTATTAAGAATATCCATTCCATTTGAAATATCGATGGCGAGATCCTCTGTCGGCCGCAAAAAAACCTTTTTTTGGTGAAAGATTTGAGAAGCCTTTTTACTCGTTAAGGAGCTACCCTCTTGAAGTTGAGGGCTAATCAAATCTCCACCTTCCTTTATTAATAATTCAAAGTCAATATGATCCAGTAAAGGTTTAAATTCAAACTTCAGAAAGGACTTCAGACCATCAGCTGTATACACGCTGGAGACGGTAACTGAATTTTTTACCAGCTGCAGTTTACTCAAGACACTAATATCATTTTTATTTGGAGCACCTAGGTCAGCAGCGAAAGGAATGAGTACTACCTGCTTCCCTAGAGTGCATGTGTTGGCAACGATTTTATGTTTTTTCGAAGGTGGTTGTGCAGGACTCGATGTTGACGGTGTCCCATAAGGAGCAAATGCAGCTCTAAGGCTACTGGGCACAGTGAGATGCCCACCTCGTTTGAATAAATTTTTACACTCCTGATGAGACAGGGAGGGCCTCTTTGGAGTGCTCGCCACAGCAGGTGGCACTGGTGGATTGACAGCAACAGGTGGTACTGGAGGATTTGCAACAGGTGACACTGGCTGTTCAAAATCACTTTCATCGCTGCTTGCATCTAAAGATCTCATGAATTTTTGAAGCTTCAACTTTAGCTTTTCTTTGTTTGACGTGAGAGACATCTTTGGCATCTGAAACAAAAGAGGATTGAAAATTGCAAAATATTGTCAGATTCAGACAAGTAACTCTAGAGAGCTTTGCTAGTGACAAAGGCTTGGCTTCATTGATGCTACTTAGGAGAGAATATTAATTATATGTTTGAGGCTAGGCTTTAAAAGCCTGAGGAGTCCAGAATAACATTGAGAACTAGAGCGAAGTAAGTGCATCGTTTTCCATGTTAATGTCACATCCATTGTAGGTGAGTAATCTTTTTTTGTTGGTACCGTAAACTAATGATAAAAAAATTAGGTATAGGATTATCTTGCATTCCAAAGGTAACGAGAGGAAAAATTTGAAATTTAAAGAATAAAGTGACTAATAGAGGGGGAGGGAAAATGACATCGATATGACTCGATATTAGGTCAAAGCTGTTGGTCTGGTATGGCCTTGAGTAGAAAAAGGCAGACAATCGGTTGCCCAATCAGGTTTTAGATCTGATTCTTCCCGAGACGTGACAGAGAGGGTTCTTTTATCAATTGAGCATAATAAAATGTAAAATTTGAAAGAGCTCACCTACAAAGGGTGTCCCAAAAGTACTGCGCAGTTCTCTGTTTTGAGAAATCGGTAAGAGCTATCGACAGGCAATTTGAACAGGCCTCTAAATTGAATCCTCAGCTTGAAAACAAGACCAAGTTCAGGTCCCTAACTTAAAAATTGCCACAATTATATCACTTTAACGTTGACATGTAAAAGTTGACCCTGTCGTTTTTCTGGCACCTTTTTTTTCGTAAGAAAGAAAACGAGAGAAGCTGAAAAAGAAGAAGCCTCGTTTATTGAAAAAAGTTAACAATAAAGCTTACTGAAATTTGGAGAGTTAATGCTCTTCCCCGATGAGTCAACATCATTGACCTTTTCAAAGTATTTGCCTTCATTTTCGACACAAAGTTCCAGTCGTTCTCTCCACTTGACAAGAAATATTTTTCAACTTCTTCTTGCGGGATGGATTTAAAGTAAGTTTGAACAGCAGACTTAATTTCTTTGATTGAATTAAATCTTTTGCCTCTTAAATTTTTCTTAAGTTCTGGAAACAGCCGAAAATTTCTCTCGCTGAAGAACCGCGCCGAAAATAATAACGAATAAAATGATGTTGCTCTTTCTTTAAGTCCGAACTCATCGTGAATGAGAGAAATGCCCGCGCGTCTCCAAACTTGCGCGACAGCTTGCGTGTAGGTACGTGAGATTCTGTCGGCGGTTACCATGGGAACGTTTCTCGACCTTCACACTGTTGCCGCTTGCATTCTCTTTATTGCCAGCTTGATTGTTCCATTGCATTTGTTTATCCGGAAAGAGTTTGCTCTGTTGCATTATGCGCTTTAAGATTTTTTACTAAAAAAAGGTGCCGGAAAAGCGACAGGGTCAACTTTTGCACGTCAACTTTGAAGTCAATTTTTAAGTTAAAGACCTGAACTTGGTCTTGTTTTCATTCAATTTAGAAGCCTGTTTAAACCGCATGTCGATAGCTCTTATCGTCTTCTCAAAAAATAGAAAAGTGCAGTACTTATGGGACACCCGGTGTATGTAAATTAAACGTCAAGTTTTGTGCGTTTTGCGCTAATACTTAATGTAACAATGCAAAAATCTTATTCTGAGGTCATGGCTACATTTCCCCATGGTTCACAGTATTTATTAAGAACCAAATGCCCTGTTCTTTCTCCTGATATTTTCTGCAGTTGCAGGGGAATGGATAGGGCAGAATTTAGCCATGAAACATTTCACACAGTCAAAACCTAAGATGTTCAACAGTCCTTACGGTAAAGTGTCAAATTCCTTGCTTTTCAGATGTTTCTCCCTACGTTCCAATATTTTTCATGGTTTTCCACTGCTAAGTTGGATTCCCTGTGCTTTCGGAGGCTAGAAACACTGGCTTTGTCACCTCCCTCTCCCTTGAGATTAAAATAGAAAAGCCTATCCAATCAGATGGAACGTTGAGTTTGAAGAGTTAATTTTTTTATCAAACAAAGCATATCACCTGGACCCAAGAAGTCAGCTATTCGAACTGATACTAAGCATCTATGGCAATGTGTACAACGACAGTTGCTTGTTGGGTTAGTACCTTGCCTGAAGTTAAATACAAATTTTCCGGTCTACAAGGCTTACTGACACAACATGCGGAGTTGCAAACTCTTCTCAATTGCGATGTCGCAGAAAGAAAATTTCTGTTAAGAAAATAAAAAGAGCAGTTATTACTACCCTAAAGCTGAAGAAGATTTTTGTCACCTGATTTTCAGTCAACAACATAATCATTCACTAGGAATCTTTACAATAGGAGACATGAGCTTGACATATGGGTTCAGGTGGAAAATCAATTCGATGCCGATTTTCTACTTAAACAACAATCTTTAGTCACGACTCGAGAGAATAATTTAGATGCTCATTAAGTACATCATATGTTGGAACAGAGTTCGTGACACATATATATTAAGATTTCTGAGTTCTTAGGAGAAAATTGTACGTGTCCCAGCCGAAACAAAAGGCAGTTCCACCCATTGGGCAGAGTTTCTAATATTTGAACGAGACTCTTCATGTTTCAAAAAAAGTTTGTAAATAAAGAAAAAAATAAATACCAATAAATACCTGGTCATGTATAAAAAAACGTCGGCAAATAGATTGAGTCGACCCACTATTTCATCTGAATGACGTAACACAAGGTTAACTTCTCAAGTTGATGAACGTTCAGTGCACGGTACTACTATTAACTCTGCCAATATGTGCGATTGAAATGCTACTTCCACATAAGCACACAAGTAACCTCTATCAGCTAGTGAGACCTGTGGGGAAAGAAAAAAATTAATACATGGCTTATTAAGATAAGTTGAAAGTCGCTAGAATCAGTGACACTATATTATGCTTACACTTGGAATCTTCTAAAATTTCTTGTCCAAAAGACTTGGTACCCGACCCAAAGTGGCTGGCAAAATTTCACTCTATCATTCCGTGACTGTTCTCTGACTATCTTACAATTTAGGAAAACCAACAGAATTGGTGAGCACCAATGAGAAATTTAGCGCCACTAACCCAAATGAAAGCCATGCAGCTCCTAAAAGAGAGTTTCTGCAAATGAACACATCCTGGCATTAGAGCATTAAACAGAGAAACTAAACTTGTTTGGGTGCCTGGTCATAAAGCCATTGACAGCCATGAATTGGCCGATCAACAAACCAAGATGACAATAGGTAAACCTTTAAGACCACCACCAATGAGAAAATCCATTCAATGTCAAGACTTCAGTTTGAAATGAAACTGGTGCGAGACGGCTTTGAATGTAAGGTTTTGTATCGGGAAAGGGCTCATCTAAATTATAGATGCGTTGTCAAAGTAAGTTGTTTGGGACTGCGCGTTAGGAAACGGAATTGTCTGATTCCGAACAGTTGGCATTGTTGAACTTTGTTAGAATTACCCGATGTATTGTGTGTTTACATGTGACTGCCTAACGTTTCAACCAAATGCTCAACGATCTCAGGAGGTCGATGGGACTGTTAGGAAACAGAAGAACCAAAGGAATCGGACAAGTTTACTTCGACAATGCATCAACGCTATTGACTGGTTCGCACCACAGCGCAATGACAGAATTTCAGCTGCGGCGTAGTTTGATAAAAGTTAAGCAATTTCTAAAGCCAGTAGTGGCTGTAGAGGCATTACAGCGAAGTGGCCTACCAGTCCCAGGATTACCGACAAGACATCTGATGTTGACTTCAGAAATATTGAGATCATGCAGAGGAAGGGGTTCTGAAAATATTCTCTGGCAGACAAAACTAATCGTCAGAAATGACATTACCACCTGCAGCAAATTGTACCAGGATGAGCTGCTAGACTCTTTGGTTACCTGCTGATCACCTAGTTCGACAATCATTTAACGTTACTTCTGAATTTGACTTTATCACCGCTAAACCGTAGAATAAGTAGAGTAGGTCAGTCTTGACGTTAGTCTCTTTATTCTATGGCTAAGCTGGCTTAGCTGGCCGTCCACGACCATGCCTTTCGGTCAGGCACATGGACTGCAGCCTGATGGTTGAAATTTTGTGTTTGTCATCCAGTCAAGACAAGATTAAGGAGAATTGAATTCTTTGATTGGTCATAAATGATGAGAAAAAGGATGGTGGAAACTTACCTTCGATATACCAGCAAAGCAGACTACTTCATATGCTACTTCATCATTCGTCGCAGACCACGCGCCTTGGGAATTCAAAACAAAACAAAACAACGGTCACCTGATCAACATGTGAAATAGCCCGCCAATTTTACGAAGCGCTTGGCGCATGCGCGGATTGTAACCTCTGATTCGTCTCCCCACTTGGAGGGCAATCCGCGAAAATTCAAAAAAGCGGAAATAATAAATAATGCGCGTAACTCGATTAGAAAACTGTGTAGATCTGACATGGTAAACTAAACTACATGTGCGTGAAACCACTAACATTCTCTACCAAGAGTTAACCGTTCCGAACTTATGTAGACATCTGTTAACACATGCAATAGGGATGTCGATTTTGCAAAAGATAAAGTGGTAGCAATTCACTTCGCAGGCAGTCCTATGAATTTTTTGGGGTGAAATCCGATTTTTTATTTCTCAACACTGATTCCTACCGCTTACGCCCCAAGAACTCAAAAAACACTATTATTGACGATAATTTCCTTTCTAAATTATAATCGGGATACTTTTAATTTTACAGGAAAAGTACGGTAAAAAGTCTTACAGTTTCATAGGGATTTAATTCATACCGGGAGGGGGGGGGGATTGCACCGTGAACGTAAATACAACCTCCAAAGTGAAACAGGAGACAGACCACTGAATATTTATTTATGCTTTATTTTTATATAAATTGTGGGTTGGATTGCGTAAAGTGCTTGCAGGTCCTCTGAGGCTACCCTGGTCGAGAGGCGATAATATACTGTCGCCTTTCTTATCATTTCATTGCCGTACTTATTATTCTGTTGCTTTTGAAGAGGCAGCGTGGAGATGCATGAATTCCCATGAGAAAATTGCCGAATGGAATGGGAGTAGACTGGGAGTAATGCCGCAATCACACGCTGAATGTGGCTTGAATGTGGAAGTCATAGGCCCGATGCCTGAATTTTGCGCACGGTTTTTTTGCAAAGATTCTCAGCGACCATCGGACAATGTCGGATTTGTCTGAACTATTCGAATAGCTCTGATACACATTTGGATGAAAATAACTCGAATTAGTGAAATTTCAGCTGTTGAGCGCTAACTGTTGACTGCCACATTCAGCTGACAAATTCAGCGTGTGATTGCGGCGAAAAAGGTTTTGGTGAGATGGAAGACTCTTTTACACAAGTAATTGGGCGAAAATTTGAAATAGGGAACATTCTTGTCCCTGGTATTTTATTTGCACATAAATATGTTCTACTCCTATTTTTTTATTTATTTTTTTTTTTGCCTTAATATGAAAAATAAGCTTTTTTTCTAAAAAGTAACATAAAATAAATGCCGAATATCAATGGTGTTTTACACTTTTCTACCCTTTGAGTATAGTATCAAACTCACGACAGTCACACGTACCTACACCATGGCTCCTAGTCTGCAATGATGCAACTTGAAGAGAAAAACGTTATTCGAAAACTTACTCATCATTAAATATTTACAAAAGTTTCTCCCTTGTAAGACAATAAATAGAATATAAAAAATCCCCATTAAAATTCGTTCACAAGCGCCAGGGACATTCGAAAAAGTTTACTCACGACCGTCGCAAATAGCTGAAGTTTGAATTGGGAAAACTGAGAAAAAAAATCAAAAACAATTGGGCCCATGTAGGTACGTTATAAGATCCCAAAAACCGTCCAGCGAATTGAGAAAATACAACCTCCAAGGGAAATGATGAAATTGATTTTAGACTTCTTTCACTTTGAAATATCCCCTATTCAACATTTTCGCCCACTTATTGGGTATGCACGTTGCTTCACGCGGATACCACAAAAAAAAAAAAAAAAAAAAAAAAATTAACACGCGAATTCCCAATAGCGTAAATCCAACTAATGGATGAAAAATAATTAAGTAAGCAAGACCCTGAAGTAGGCATGTCTCAGACTTCCATGACAAGGTAGAGCAAGCTAGGTACCATGCCTTGATGTGTGAAATCTCTCGATTCATTAATATTCCTTTAGGTATGTTTGCTAAGTAGTTGCCCATGTTTGAATGAATATGTTTTGGTTTTTTTTTTTATCCATCCGGTTATTTGTATTCAAATGACGGACTCGACTGGGCACTAAATCCCTGAAAAAACTCTCATTTCCCCAGAATAAAAGCTAACGCACCTATTCCGCAATGGAGATCTTGTATGTGTGAGGGATTTGCGATTTGACTACTGATTCTTCTGTAAAAGTTCGCGAAAAACACAATGGTGTCACGTACTGGTTTTCTCGGAAATCAACTCCCAAGCTCAAAAAAAGCTCTCAAGTTGAGGCAAAAATAGAGGGGATATCCCACGCTATCCTGATAGTCCACCTCTACATCAAGACAAACTCTCCATGCAAATAAGGAGCAAATACATTAGCAGGGTTGCCGTGTTTTCAGTTTTGGAGTCCCCAAATAAAGTGGCAGCCCTGCCACTGTATTTGACCCCTATCTTTGCATGGAGAATTGGAGAGTTTGTCTTGATGTAGAGGTGGACTCCCAGGATAGGGTGGGATATCGCCTCCATTTTGGCCTCAACTAGAAAGCGTTTTTTGAGCTTGGGAGTTGATTTCAGAGAAAACCACTGGCACCATCGTGTTTCTCGCGAACTTTTACACCAAAATTAACAGCCAAATCGCAAATTCCTCACACATGCACATGCAACATCTCCATTACGACCGGCCGGCTGTTTCCGGTTCTTCACGACGAGCAGCACTGTCACTACGGCAGCTTTAATACCACCTTCTATGCTATAATGTGAAAAGCAACCAAAATCAATTTTTGAGAGTCACGATCGCGCGTTTTAATTTTCATCAAGTCACGGTCATAAGCAGCTCGATTAAATTGAAAAGCAATCAATGTAATTTGAAGTATTAGGAAAGAAAAACCAGGAGCCAAATTGACAATGATAGTGGACTAATTATGTTGGCAGCGCTGCTCGTCGCGAAAAACCAGGAGGCAGGACTCAATAGGGATAGAGTCCCTTTATAACACAGAGTTAAGACAACTCGATTATCAGCTGACTGGCAGCCGGCCTTGGCTGGCCATGGAGGCCGAAACGAGTGCACTCAAACGAACGATATTGAGGGATAAGGATAAGGAATCCTCCGATGTCTGTCATCCAAAAACAACAACATCAACAAAACGGATTAAAACCTTAAAATTAGATTGATTAGTGGATAATTTCTTAATCTATTTTCATTTTGGTGCGATTAAAATAACAATTCACTCTTGATAAACCACAATTTAGTTATATTTTCATTACTTTTGTTCACATTCGAGGTGCCGCCATCTTGGTGCACTCGTTTCGGCCTCCATGAGCGAGAACCAATCAGAATTGGATTTTTTTTAGGCCTCTTTCAGCCCTCTGCTGGTCAGCTGATAATCGAGTTGTCTTAACTCTGTGTTATAAAGGGACTCTAAATAGGGAAATTGCCGGCCCAAGGGAGCTCTAGCCCCCCGGATTTCCGAGGAAATGAGAGTTTTTTCAGGGATTAAGTGCCCAGTCGGACCCGTCATTTGTTTATAAAGAGCCGGATGGTTCCAAAAAAAAAAAAAAAAAAAAAAAAAAAAAAAAAAAAAAAAAAAAAAACCCTATTACATATTTATTCAAGCAAGGGCAACCAGGAAATAAAAGGAAATGAATCGAGAAATTTAACACATAAAGGCTTCGCGCTGATCCACCGGATTGCCCGGCATAGTATCATCAAATTTACTTGCAATAATGTCCCCTGTAGGTATACTCCCTACATGATAAGAACATCCCCAGAAATTTAAAAACATACTTAAAAATCGCATCTGATGATTTAAGTATTTCCGATAAATCAAAGCATGTAACGAAAGTGAGGTTATGGTGGGTAGGGTTAAGTGAGGTACTCAGTCTGTCTGGGTTTTCTTTCCATGGTGGAAAGGAATTGGGTAAAAATGACGAGGATTCAGCCTCTTGAAGTCATGCACTTCGAAGAGCGAAAATGGAAGTAATTACCTGCGGTGAGGATTCACCCATCGGACAATCGATTGTTCGCATCACTTCATATATATCGAATATCGATCTCGGGGAATCGGTGAACGCCTGCTTAGAAATCCAGGAAAACATTGACAGACTTGGCAACATGTGGAACAACATGAGAGAAAAATCTTTCCCATGAAAAAAAAAAATCCCACACGGAGAACGAAAAAAAATCACTCACGCAACACGAAAGAAAAAAATCCCTCACAAGCGAGAAAAAATCCCTCACAAGAGAAAAAAAATCCCTCACGGGAAAAAATATTTCTCAGGGTACATTTTTAATAAAGGAACGGACGGCCAACCATAGTCAACAAGATACAGTAATTTTTAAAAAAGACCACATCAGCTGCTTTTACGGCGAACTTTTGTTAGGCATAAAATTAACTACCTAGCTGTTGTAAGAGACGTCAAGAAATTGATGTGGGTTAAATTATGATTACTGTTGAAATGTTTAATGATTTTTTTTAAAAAAATAAATATTTGGTAACTTCCAACACAAAAATAAGGAACAAACTATATCATCAGTCTTTTAAAATATGGAAAAAATTAAAGAGGGTGCAGGGTGCCATCTCCCAAAGACCTACATGCAATGCGCCTTCTACTTTCTGTTATTAGGTATTGTAATGTGCTCATATACACGACTCTCACTTTAAAGTTAGGTCACTGCATTGTTTTCAAGATAACTTCTGTTTTCTCATACACTCATCCTCTTCATCCCTCACTCATTTTCATTAATGGTTAGCTATTACTAAAATATTTATGTTATATACTCTTAAATTAATAGTGCTAAATATGTATTACATAGATGTGCTCAATAAATAATTTTAAAAAAAAAAACAAAAAAAAACAGTTTACAAGAGACAGTGCAACAATGGAAACAAAATAGAATTATTCTTGCCATCAGGAAGAGCTAGGTACTGAGCAGTAATTGACGAAACCTTCCAACATCTTAAAGCGGAGAGCTTTTTACCTTTAAAAATTCCTAAGCGGCTGCTATCAATGAGTGCATATTGCCCATCTGAAGTACCATAAAAAGGGCTAAGATCAGTGAACTGACGCCCGATTAAGACAGCTTCACCTAATGTGTCACAGAACGCAAAGTTCTCTGTTTTGACAATGATAACATTGGAATCGCCTACATTTGACACACTACAATAACTATCAGCTACGTTGGTGGCAGAAATTGTAAAATTGGGGAAAATAGCTTTACGAAATTGTGGACCTCTACAGCTGGAGGGAAGCGGCCCATCTTCGTGTTCCTGTGTAAAATCGTTTGCCTGTTTTAAAGCAGGTCTAAAAATGTGGGATAAGGCTTTGCAGCGACTCCATTCTTCAAGGCGTTTTGCCAACTGCTGTAAGGATTTTGCTTTTCCTCGCACTAGTTTTTTTAACAATCGGAGGAAGTTTTCGAAGGGAAATGTCGAGATTCGATCCAAAGAAAATTTGGGAATGAACTCGCTGAAAAAATCAACATCAACAACGTGGATGAGGGAGTGAAAACTGAAGACAATAAATTCGGCGCCATAAACGTGCATGGTTCTTTCAACAAAATTT